CTCTGCGTACTAACTCTGTCTGAACATTTGCTTCCCAGAGAACACATCCTCTAAACTACTTTTACATATTTTGTTCAAAGGAACTTAGACATCTTTAACCAAAGCATTGATACACTGGAGTACCAAAACTTTAGCTTTGATTTCTTTTAGCCAACATAAATCACTTGCTAATTCAAAGCTTGCAAACAGAGCTTGTACATGGATACAGATTATTTAATTTATGATTACAAAAGGGAAAAGGCATTGGTGAGGGGTAAATTAGGAGTTTGAGATTAGCAGATACACACTACTATATATAAAATAGGTAAACAACAAGGTCCTACTGTATAGCACAGTGAACTGTTTTCAGTATCTTGTAATAAACTATATAATGAAAAAATATGAAAAAGAATATATATATGCATAACTGAATCACTACGCTGTACATCAGAAACTAATACAACACTGTAAATCAACTATACTTCAATTAAAGAAAATACTTGAGCCACTTGCTAGTAGCTGGTATAAAGCAGTGAATACGACAGTCACTAATTTCCTGGAGCTCAGATTCTGACACACAGTACTTGTAAAGATATTATAAAAAATAAGTATGTATACACAAATGATACCTACTATTCTAGGCACATCTAGGATACCTAAGATATAGATATATAACAAGACAATATATATGATATATGAGATGTCAATTAGACAGATTGATGTCTGATGTTCAGAAGTTAAAAATATCTATCTAGGCTGGAGATGGTCAGGGAAGTCTTTGTACTGACAAAGTGTGATCTTAGCTTAATAAAAGATTGAGGGAAATAGTAAGATCTTTGCAAAATTTTCTTTAAATCATAAAAAGATTCTCCTTCATACATGGTTAGAATTAGCTGATTCTAACAAGTGGAAGCAAGATATATATGGGAACGAGGTTTTCAGAACAATTGCCAGAGCTGAGCAGGCACAGATAAAGAAGAGAAATTTATGTCTATTATTATTGTTTTTCAAACTACTCTAAAATAAATAATGAATCTATGGTCATTGAAGCTTTTTTAAAAAAAATACCCTTGGTAATAATCTCATTGACTCATATGGCAACAGAATAATAGCATTTCTAGTTTGAATTTATATCCAAATATGTTGTTGATGTATAGATTTTTAAATCAGTGAATATGTATAGGAAGCTTTGGCATTCAGGAATTAGATCGCTGCATCATCATGAAACTTCAGAAAAACAGAAGAAATATTTTAGTCTTTCTTTTAATAGAATTTTATTAGCTAGGAAAGTGAAAGAAAGTACGGAAACTTTTTTTTTCACTTTTAATACAGACATTGACATCAGTAAGTTTTATATTATTTTACTGGTATCTGTTCTTAAAAGGAAGAAGTAGAGGCTTCCAGTCTTTGAAGCCACGAATTTTTCAATGTCCAATCTGAAAATCAGGGAACTGAAGTAATTTTCCCAAGCTCTCAGAGATACTGAGGGTACTAAGCATACTTAGTATTAAAAGCTATTCACTCTGTGAGCTCTGTCTTCTACATTATGCTTTCCCTCAGTTAAACATTCAATGTTTATTTATTTATTGCTTATAAATATGTTCCTTTTCTCACTCCTTTAATCAACTTCTTTTTGGACAAAGTTTCCCCATAATCTTTTCTTGGATTTGATGGGTCTTCACACAGTACACGATGGGATTCATCAGGGGTGGCACCAGTAGGAACACATCAGCCATGAGAATATGGATCATAGGAGACACACCCCTGGCAAAACGGTGGAGCATGGCTGCACTTAGCATGGGCACATAGAAGATGAGCACAGCACAGATATGAGAGATGCAGGTGTTGAGGGCCTTAAGCTGCTCTTTGGGGGTTGCAATGCCCAGTACTGTCTTTAAGATTATTATGTAGGAGAAAGTAATAAACAACAAATCCAGAATAGTAGAAAGGGCAGCAAAGAGTCCATAGACAATGTTAACTCTGTTGTCAGAGCAGGCCAGCTTCATGACATCCTGGTGGAGACAGCAGGAGTGTGAGAGCAGGTTTTGATGACAGTATGTCAGCCGTTGCAGCAGAAAGGGTAGTGGAAGAATCAAGATAATGTTTTTGGATGTCAGTAAGACCCCTGTTTTGATGACTCGGGAGCTGGTTAAGGTTGTGCTGTATCTCAGAGGGTTGTGGATGGCCATATATCAGTCAAATGCCATTACAGATAGCACAGAGGCTTCAGTAACTGTGAATAGATGGATAAAGAACTCCTGGGCAAAGCATGCAGCTGCATGAATTTCATGGACACCAAACAGGAATAGTCCCAGAATAGTGGGTAAGGAAGAGAGGGACAACCCTAGGTCAGAGATGGAGAGCATGGAAAGGAAATAGTACATGGGTTCATGGAGACTTGGCTCCATCTTGATAAAGAAGAGGATGGCAAGGTTACCCAGGAGAGAAAGAAGGTATACAGATGAGAAAGGAATAGATATCCAGATGTGATCCTTCTCCAGTCCAGGGATACCGATAAGGAGGAATCTAAGAACTTCAGTGTTCGTGTGGTTAAGAGGAGACATGACACATGGAAAAGATACTTAGCCAGGTGCTTACCTCAGTGGAGTTGGAAATTTCCTAAATAAAGTTATGGCAGAAGATGTCTCTTTTTGGCACAATGTAGATCATAGATACTAAGAAGACTATCAGAGACTTCTTAAAATGGTCTATATTTCTACTGTCAGTTCAGGCTGTAAGAAAGTCAAACACAGAAATAATGAGAAGAATCTAATTTGCTTCTTCATCCAGGGTATTTGTTTCTATTTTGTTAAAGGGTTAATCGATTTGGACTTTGCACAATTAACAATTCCAGACAATCCTTTCACAACCTGCAGCTACCCATGGCTGAATTTCACAAAACCAGCTCTATGATTTTATGGTTCTCTTATCTCAGTTTTATAAAAGCAAAATCTTGAAGGGAAAAGCAAAGTTTACTATGAATGGGGAAGGATTCATAAACTATACCTATATTCAAATCTGTATATCTCAAGTAGGATTAACATTTGAAGTAATGGCAGAACTGAAGGTCTTAGAGTTAAAATCCTCTAGAAAATATGCAGTCTTACTCTCCTGTCTATACAGAACCACTTTAAATCATTGGTCACTATCAACTAACATATCCTAGCTTATTCACAGTGTTGGTGTATTAACTGCTACCTGAAGTTTTGCCTTCATGCTTGAATACTCATATTGTTTTTCTTCCTTGAATTAAGTTGATAAATGTTTTTAAAAGTTTTCATCTTTTTTTTTCTTTGCAGGTGCAGAATCTAGTCCCATTTACACAAAATAGTTTCTTTAATGATTTCTATTATTATTACATAATTGATATCTGTCTTCTCCCACTGCTAGAATATAAGGGTAGGGAATCTGGGTCATACTGTTCACTACTGCAATTCCAGAGCTTAGCATAGTAAGTGGAAAATAAGTAGCTTCATAATTGTTTATTTAATTGAATGTAATTTCCTGAAGTTGAAGACAAGTAATGATTTCTTCCATTATTAGCTATACCTTTTTAGACTGAACATCATCTATTCTATCAAATAACATTTCTGTGAATTTTGATTGCTTGTGGTTTTTGTTTTTGTTTTGTTTTTTTTAGATTCCTCATTTGGTGCTCCTCAAACAACACAAAACACTGGTTCTTCTTATTATATGAAAACACAGTTCCTTAGAAGTTTGTCCACAGAGTGTCTACCTTTTCCAAAGTCATTATCTTTACAGTTTTCATTTCCATTTTGTTAATGATCTAGGAATTATTGACTCTCTACTTTAATTATCCACTTAATCTCCTTCATTTTTAAATACCTGTCAGGGTTGACTCTTAGATTTTTCTAAGAATATTGAGAGTATGGAAGAACATTAGCTTTTAAGAAAATATAATCTCTTAATGTTTCTGTACTATGCCGACTGCTCCTTTGCTGTATTTTGCTCTTCTTCCCAACCTCTAAATGGATGAACACCCAGGAGTACTGTTCAAGGACCTGGTTTCCTTGGGGATCTGTAGCTTAAAGATAAGTGTTTGGAACTTAAGAGAAAGGCCAAGGGTGCGGATAAGTCCATGATATCCATCATATTATGAGTTTACCCATCTTCTGAAACTCCTTATCTGAGCCATAGAACTTGCTTTTCTGACTGTGCTAGATAAGGCTAAAATTATCTGTGGCCATTTGTGTTGTGGCCTTTTACTCAGCATTGCTTGATGACTGCATTGTTTTTCAGAGGTAGTCACTACTGAGATTTAATTTTAACTTATAGGATAAGCACACATAAATTTAATTATTTTATTATATATTTATCCTTATTTTATAATTTATATAGTAATATGACATCCTGCTAAATGACTTACATAGATTTTCTCATTTCTGTTCTCATGTGATTATCTTTTTCCCTTTATAGGGAAGACAATAGTTCTTAGAGGTATAATAATTTGTCCAAGGTCATGCATCTACCTGCCAGGAGACGTAAAGAAAATGAATCATGTGATGTTTGAGACACATACCTTGTCACATGTATCATTCAGACTGGGGATTTCTAAAACATCTCTGGACACATACCCCCACCAACGTGTACATTCTATCTCTTCTTGGTAGTTCTATAAGATTCTCAGGCTCCGTGGGCATCTCTTGATTTGTTTTTGTTTTAAATCTCTTCAGGATCCAATGAGATAGAAAACAGAATGCAAATTATATTAAATATTCTGAAAGAGTAGAATTATATCTTACCTCCTTTGTGACTCTTTTCCACCAAGATGACAGTTCACCCTAAAGTAAGAAAGAGATTAGAAGCTGGGAAGTATCCTTTAGACTCCACTTTTCTGCTTTGTAGGCACTGTCTTATAAAGCCTAGAGAACCCGTGGGGTTGACGACAAGCAAGAGGTGCCTGATGAATAACACCATACTTCATGGAAATCTTCTAAAGGGTTGTCTCAAGGGTCAGTGATCTAAGACTGAGCTCATAATGCAGGCTCAGATTGAGGAAACTGAGCATGATAAAATCTTGGAGGCCATATTAAAATTCAACAGCCATTCATCAAATCTTTCCCTTGGCTCATTTGCCAACATATCTTGGGACAAATCAGCTAGGTATTTAGAATCTCAAGTTCTGAAAGAGATCAGGCTACCAATATTGTATATTAATTTTCTTCTGACATGAAATTATATTTCTCTATCATATGTTTATTGGTCATTTTTATTTCTTATTTTTGAAGCATCTACTGAAGCCATTTGCCCATTTTCCATTGGATTGTTTGTCTTTCCATAATTGATTTACAGAAGTGTTTTAATAAATATAGGCTCAGCCACTTGTTGGTGATGTATAGCATTTATGTTCTCCCACTTTACTGCTTGTCTCTTTAGTCTCTTACTCAATCCTGTTTATTCAATTGATGCAGTCAGCCATGTTAGGCTATGTAGATTTACACTATACTTACTTGTAGGCAGGGATTCTCTTTGGAATAAATAGGAGCAAACCATAGGTCAGCAATCACATGTGACCAACCAATCTTTGCAGTGTAAATCATATTTAATTTCTCAAACATAATAACCTATGATATAATTAGAAATTCAGAAATTAGAGAGAAACAAATTCACTGTGGCTTTCACTTTTTGTCTAGGATCTTTGCAAGTCTTTCAACCTTCACAATACACAATCACACACAAATTCTCTACATTTGGCAATAAAGAAGTGGTTTAGTGAAGTGTCTTTTAAACTTCAATGTGAAGATGAATCACTTGAAAATTTTGTTAAAATGAACATTTTCATTCAAGATACTTCAGTGGATCATAAATTACTATATGTTTAACAAGCTCCCAGGTGATGCCTATGTTGGTGGTCCAAAGACCACCCTTTGAAACATGCTACTTTTGTCTCCTACTACATGGTTTTGGTAGATGGAAGCAAATCTGTCAGTCATGTTGGATTTGCTTGGGAGTGATTTGTTTCATCAAGGAAAAAGGAAAAACTTAAAGATAATAGTCAAGTAAATGTAACTGATAAAAATTGTCTCTCTTCAATTAGAGTGACTAACGAGCATGTATGTTGTGTTAAAATCAGTGTAGTTTGTCTTATATTTTAAAATTTATTATTATTTTCCTTTTGAATTATTTGTTCGTTTTTTATCTGGGATTCTCTGCAGGAATTCTTGTATATCAGCTGTATGTCCCATTCTGGTTATTTTCTCACTTATTTTAGTGTTCTAAGGCCTGAATCAAAACTGAATATAGATAATAATATAGGGAATCTTGGTCTTTTCTTGAATTTTAAAGGGCTATCTTAATATTTTGTCACTGACTTTTAGGTTTATTCTTTGCTTTGAGGGAGGAGTTTAATTTTCACTATTTAACATGAAATCAGTTCTTTCATACTCCTTGCGTTCTAAGAATCTTTTAAAATTATGCATGGCTATCATATTTTATTGAACTTTTTTTTAACTTCTATTGAAATGATATCTTTTTAGTTTATTCTAATTGTAAATGATTTAAATGTGTATTTTTAAAAATTCTGATATAGTTGAAGAATGGCAATGATCTTACAAAAATCAAAAGAAGAAAATGTTCAGGCCTATCTACTTCAGAAACACACGGGGAACACTCATGCACAGACACACACATGCACAGATATAATATACATGTTTAATATGTGGTATGTGGTATGCATGGGATTTCGAATTACTGAGAAATGATGATACATTCAATTATTGTTTTGTGCTGACCTCTTACTATCAATAACCAATGTTCGTGGCTAGACTGGTCCTTGCAGTTATTATGATTTCAGGATGCCCTCAGCAATAACCATGAGGAAACTTTGGGAAAAAAAGAGTTTTATTACTTAAAAGTCTTAGAAATTACATGGCATACCTGGGGCCACACAGTGAGGACACTGGGGGAGAGAGAGAGAGAGAAACAGCCCTGGGTTCTGAGTTTATTGGTGTTGATGGTGGGAGCCTTAATGTTTATCAAACTCACTTTTTTTTTCCTTTCGTATTTAAAAAAAATTTTTATTGACGTGTAGTTGATTTACAGTGTTAGTTTCAGGTGTATAGTAAAGTGATTCAGTTATACATACACATACATATATATATATATTTTTTTTCTTTTCAAATTCTTTTCCACTATAGGTTATTACAAGAAATTGAATATAGTTCCCTGTGCTATACAGTAGGTCCTTGTTGTT